TTTTCTCACTACAATGTATTGCTGTGTTTGTCCTTGACTTTTTGGATCAGCCTTCTGCTTTATTACATCCTCTCCATTACTTTAAACAGAGTGGAGTGCAGAATTAGCTTCAATCCACTTGTTCAAAGATAAAACAAGGTTGAGGGCAATGCTTTAAACCACAACCAAAACATTTCGGTTGTGGTTTTTGGTTGCCAATCATACTTGAAAAAAACATGTTAAGTATTTATTTTTCTTCTCCAAGCACAGTTCCCTGATTTGAAAAAGATGAAAACACTTCATCGATGTTGTTTTGATGGGGAAATGATCGGAAAGGGTTTTTGGAGTAAACCAAACGTTTGACACCTGTGGTGCTAAGTAATACGCTACAAAGCAAGATTAAACAATAATAATAGGTATAAAGTCCAGGAGCAAACATCCCTCGGTTTCTGCAACTATCTGGAGATTCCAACGATTAAAATGATAAGATGTTCATTTTCTTCTTTAATGGACTTAATTTGCACAACGGTCTCAAATTCCATCACTTTCTGTGACCACTGGAGGTTAACACAAAGCTGCTTTTCACTGACTTATCTGCACACCTGGGAGTGGCACAGATTAAGGGTTAAAATGTAAACAGAATAAACAGAACATAAAAGAGTAGTCTCCAGAGGATTAGTGTTCAGCTGACGACTGCAGAGCTTTCATTAGATTACCACAACCTCTGTCTGCTCTGGATTGTTTCAATAGAACTGAGATTTAATTGTACTGTACACAGAGAAATATATACATGCAGTTGTGCTGCAAGGCTTATTTACTAAAACATCTCCTAAGAACTGAAAAAAAACAAAACAAATACTTAAGGGAGCATAAAATGAAAATAAATTATTTAAGTACTTATGAGTGGATTTCCTTTACATCCTTGGCTCTTCTTATTTCCTCTGGTAGTTATTTCCATAGGAGATGTTTCCCTTTATTTTCATGCTGCTCTTCTTTCCATTTAAATTCAATTTGAAAAACATAATTGTCACTATACAAGTGCATTTAACCACACGGCAATCTCCCTGTGGAGCGCAGTGTTCTTAAATGAATAAAAACTAAATGTGTGAAAGGGGGTTCAGTGAAGGAAAACACTGTGATAGGATACAGGTTTAACAGGAGGGATGAACTGTGATTAAGAATAAAATACTATAAGAAAACGTTTGTTATGGACCATGCTTTGGAAAAGAGAAGGATGCTGGTTGAAACTTGCAGAAGTCAGACCAGAAGTCAACTAAAATCTATGGTTAAAACTGCAAAAATTCTGCAAAATGATAGATTAAGGAGTTGGGATTAGGAAATAGACTGAGGGCATAAAATACAAAGAGCCTAACTGAAATACCAGCTGTCATTAGGTAGATAACTCAGTTATCTGTACAGCTGAGTATGTTTATCCATCTATGTTATCCAACATTATTACTTGAAGTTTATTTTGGAATCCAGTCACAGGCCAGATTGTATGGTCCATCAGGCCTGATTAGGCCTGTGGGCTGTCAGGTGATAATCACTGATAAATGGGATTCTCCTTATTGTGGTGCAGTGTCTGTGGTCACTAGTGTGCTTTTATTTTGAAGGACTTGTTGATATGGATACAGATCCTGGTGGCTACTAACATCTGATCTGGTTATGTATGCTAAATAGATTTATGAAGGTGGAATAAAATGAGTGTGTCTGCATTTTACTGGAGGAGAGAGCTCAAGACTGCAGACAGAGAAGAAGTGAAAACAGACTGTCCCACTGAAGAATTCATGGGGATCCTTGAAAAAAGTTGTTGCTGTTAGCATCTGCATCAGTTGTTTCCTTGACATATGTATATATTAGCAGATTGATCATTTGAGACCCAATACTGATACCTGAACCTGTAATTATTAACTCAGCTTTTTTTAGGAACCCAAAATATTACCTGTGTGATGTTTTTCAGTCTAAATGTACATTTATATTTTGTTGTTGTTGCTGTAGATTGTGTAGTTTTATCTTTATGATATGGATGTAACCTTGTAGTTTAACTATTTCTAAGATTTTGCCACAATTACCAGGTTTGTTTGTTGGGTGAAAATTCAACTTTGGGATAAAGGTCGAAATAATGAGTGAGTGTGACCAGAGCAGATCCATGAACATATGGCCTGCGACTGGGTTGATCAGTCTTTCACCTAAAACACTGTTTACACAGTGCTTCATGTTGTTTGCTATTACAATTGTATAACAGATTTTTGTTTTTTTCTCATTTAGTTTACGAGATTGTCAGGCTTTTTGTTAAGCACGTTCATTCATCTTTAAATCTCTTGATGAGTTCACACAATCAGACTTCTCACCTGGCTCCCTGAGGCACCACCTTTTTATAACAGTCTTAGAGGGATGTTTAAAGAGAGAGCTGTGCTGCCGGTTGACTCATGCAGTGACTCATGCACTGTGCACTGAGAGGAAAGACAAAAATATACCATATAATGATGCAAGGTGTCAGATATCGTCAGGCAAAAAGAAAGTTTTTGCTTGGGTTTCCTGCTCTGCCTGCCCCTGTGAAGACAATATTAACTATTTCCTAGGTATTTTTTTTTTTCATTACATTTTTTCAAAGATCTAAATGTTCATAGAGGAAATGTATCGTCTGGACAAGGGCAGTGGCCTGGTTGAACAGGTCTAGAGTTTGATTTTAGTGAATCACCTCTTATCTGTGTGCAGAAAAGCTCATATACAGTAAGTGGACAGTCTTAAACTTTTAAACGATACTCAAAGTCCCATTAAAAACTATAGACTGCAGCCTAGACTCAGTTTGGCTGTATTTTCTTGAAATACATTTATCTTTGATGTTTGCTCTTTGGTAGTGCTTTTATGTTCTCCACTCTCATTGTATCCGTCTCAAAACGGACCGCAGGCTGACAGCCTTCACCGCACGCTCCCTGAAGCCCTGCTGACCCTGTTTGACATAAGAACGGCACTGGAGGCTCCTTCAGTTTGTTTTTTTTTTAAATTTAAGATGACCTCTTCAGTGCACTTTTTGGCCAAGTGGATGAAAGTCCTTACATGACACATAAAAAGGACTGGAAAGCAATTTGCGCTCCTCCTATTTTTTTATTTATTTACCAGAAGAAAATGATTTTTCGCATCAAAGCTGATTTTACTGCAGTCGTCTGGAGTTGGTAAATTGAGGGAGATGGGAGGAACGATGCCTAAACAAATGAGGAAAACAAATCGTCTGCACAGATTGTGTTTATGTGATGCAAAACAAGCAATCTGAACAAGAAAAAAAATCTTCTTCTTTTATTTTGTGTATTTTAAGCTTTGATTGATTGTCGTTGTATTTCAGCCGCCTCCCTTTTTCCTCGCTCTTCCTGGGCTCATGAATGACAAGTGGATGTATAACCTGTCTGCCTTTTCTTTTCCACTTGACTGCATCAATTCCCCAAACACACACACACACACACACACACACACAGACCACTCACCCCAGAGCCCCTGTCTAATTCAGCCCACTCTGCCTCATTGTAAAGGGGTCATATTGGAAACCCATTAGCACTCATTATGCTTTACAGCCACCCATTCTCCCTTGTCTGTCTTTTAATCACAATGCTTCCCCTTGTGCGCGTGAGTGTGTGGGTGTCGTGCACAGCCTCCTCTGTGCACGACACTCCAGTAACGTCTGCTCTTCAGACAATAATGGACCACTTTCACCATATTGCATTTGGGACGTTCGGACATGTCCCAACTCCCCTCCTCCACGTATTACCGACCGCTCAGTGCCACCTTTTATGACAGCTCATCTCAACTGTACCCGCAGTACATCTTTGCGAAACATGTCAGCCTGAGGGGGTCGAATGTAGTCCACGACAAATTAAATCAAATTGACTTGAATAGGCTATGGGTACTATTTTTATTGGAGCTCCTTAAAGAGTTTTACGAAGTTTTACAAGAATCTTTTCAATCCTGGCGACTCCAAACACTCTGGGTCTCGTAAAGTGTTGAATGTCCTTCCACTGCCCCCTACTGAGCTGAGTGTGTGTGAGTGTGTGTTTACCTGCATAAGATCCATAAGATGCATAAGACCAACATTTTAAGATTCTTTTATTCGTTTTTAAGTGTCTTAACGGTCTCGGGCCTTCCTATATCGAATCTTCTTTTATGATACCAACCCTCGCGGACCATCGGGGATGGTTTCCTGATAAATCTTTCCTCACTTGGTTCCTCAGTGCCCAGCTTTCTTGCCTTTAAGTTAACATATGTTTGTGTCTCTCTGTGGGGGTTGGGGTCTTTGTGCTACATTCATTGTATAAGAAGTGCTTTATAAATAAATAAAAGTTAAAGTTAATTAGGACCTAATGTGACTGAACTTCACTTGTTGGTTTCTGGAGAAAATAAGCATGAAGATATTTGAGTTGGACATTAAACAGTAATCCTTTGTGTTAGGGATGATGTTTGGTAGTACTGTGCAAACAAATGGGAATCGATTCAAAGTTTTGAAAAGAATAGCTGGACAAATCCGTCTGTTTGTGTTCACGTGCGCGGAAGCGTTTGGTACTTTGTTTTGCTGGCAGGATAGAAGGATTGCACTTCTCACCATATGCTCTGCGTTTCAATTCCATCGGTTCTCTCCTGGCCAAGGCAATTGTCATATATTGCAGCAAAAGTCCCATAATCCATCTGTAGCATGACGGTAACCCAACAGTTCCATTTCACAGCAAGCAAACCTATTTTTCGAGTCTCTCAAATTTTTCCTTTTTTCATCTTCACTCTTCCTCTCTCATAGAATCTCACTGGACATTTTCTTATTCATCTCTCTTGTATTTTAATTAATTTAGTTGGATCTTTTTTCTGCTTGATATCTTTATCTATGGATAAAGTAAATTAGTAATAGTTGCCTCTGACATTTGTTATTGGTGCTTTTGTATGATTGCATGAAACCAGGGCTATGACAGAGATAAATCAGTGCTGGTAATTGTGCTTGCTGACCTTCTAAACTTTCTTTTTATGTTTTCACCTTGGCCCAGATGGTGAGAGACAGACGGAGGGGACAGACACCGGTCGCAAGAGGGACACACGCTCCTCAGCCGGCCATCACAAGAGTGAGGACACGAGTGACAGCAGGGAGGATGAGGCAGCTGTAAGTTTTACTTTTTTTCTCGGTCTATTTAATTCCTTCCTCTCTTTATTTATCTTTTTTGCTGCCTCTTTTTCCTGCTTCCTCTTCTTGACTTCATTGGTTTTAAACTAGCAACATTTTTCTGTCTAACTGCTTTCTAATAGAGGTGCATGATACTATTAGTTGCTGAGGGATTATTGGGTGATAATGTGTTCATTTCCTTTGGTCAATAATTAAATTAAGATGATAGATTGACCGATAAATGCAGCAGGTTAGTACTCTGTGCTGATCATCCAGTGAGTAGACAGCCTCAGTCCCTTGTGCTCATCGTACTACTGCGCCCAACAGGGTAATTAACATATGAGCTAAGTAATGCTAACTGGAGTGAACACAACATGTCTTTGCTGGTCTGGAGGTGGAGGACAAAAACACCACTCTCAAGAAGAGGTAAAACACAGATCATTTCAACAAATTAAATGTGTCTTTTAAAAGTTTGTTATTGCATGAAATAGAGTATGAAGTGAGTTTGAAGCAGCAGCGGTCACAGCATAGCAGCGGCTAGCAGGAAATCGTTTTCACTTGGGTAAATCCATTCTTTACATTCTCAAAAATGATGAGAAAGTAAAAACATTGTTGGTACAGGTAAAAGGTATAAGAGCGTAGATGTAATAATGATGTGAACGATTACAGCTGCTCATCCTCGACTATTTCTTTTAATGCTGAGAGACGTAAACTGAGACACCTGACAGCAAAAAATAGGGCTGAATTTGGACGACTGCCAGTGGTGTTTGGTGCATGCAGCAGTAAAACCACTGAATAGGCATCACACACACATAGAACAACACAAAACAAAATTCAAACATACAAAGTTAGACGGTTGTGGGATCCTTTCCAGATGTGACAGTGTAAAGTTACGAGTGGCCACCAGCACTAAAATGTGCTATAAAATGTAAAAGTACAATCAAGTATTAAGTATTATTAAGGGCATCACATTACTTCCAAACTGTGACAACACAGCTTAGTCAACACTACTCAGTTTAAAATGTATTGATTTTTACAGATGATCTTGGCAGTTATTAAAAAATATTCTGCAAAATCCTCCGCAATATGTTGAACTTGTCAGACTGTGGAGTTTTGTTTCTGGTCTTGATGACTCATAACCACCCAAACATATCAGAGGCTAAGACTTGTTGTAGGCTCATATGGAAACCACAGCGAAAAGTTCCCCGCACATGCAGCATTAAAACTTACAGACGACTTCTACAAACAAACCAAACCTAAGCAGTTTTGTTTTCTTGCAAGTTGAATTTCTTTGTGAATCTACAACTGTAGTTTCAAAACAAACAAATCTACTGTTTGTCCAGAAACAATGAAACAATAGAATTGTGAGCAGGAAAAAAAACAAACAAACAAAAGAAATAAACACTTCCTATGCATCTTTTTAAAACATCTTTTGTTTTAAAATGGAAGGTCACAAACTGTACGAACGAAATGTTGTTGACTGATGTACAGTTACAGTGACTGTTTAGTTGTGATAGTCTTAAGGTAGAAACTATTGTGTCAAAGACTCCAGCTCAGCTTTGTTGACACAGTCACTTCATCTTGAGATTAGTGAAGGAGGTCGTTGATGATTAAAATCTGGAAACGTGGTGGTCTGCTTTCAAGAGTTCCTCTATGTAGCCTGATTGTTAACCCTACTCTTGTAAGTCAGTTTTAAATAAAAGCGTCTGCTAAATGTATTAATGTAAATCTAATGAAAACTGTACCAGGAATGCTTTATGCACTGAGTAGAGTACAATCCCTCTGAAGTTTGGACGTTTTGTTTAAACTTAAACATAAAAACCGAATACACTGGTATGTGAAACAGTATTGTCTTCAGCCGATACTCACTGATGTTAAAGCATGGAGCCAAGACTTCGGCTTGTTTACCACTGCATCACCTTCCCTTTCAATGACCCTTAATTACTGTAAAAAAAAAGAAGAAAACATTTTTTAGTTTTAGTTGAAATTGTTTGCTCAACTCTGACTAACTTTTAGACAATTTCCTCACACAGTTGGTCACACATAATAAACCAACTTTTAAAAACCAACTCAGCCCTTCAGCAAAATAATCTTCTCACCCTTAAAAATTTCCCAAAAAATATTCTTTTTAAAGATTCCCTTTCTTTTTTAGTCTTCTTTTTTATTGCATTTTAATTCAAACTTATTTTTCATTATGACTCCAATATGAGTATTTGCAAAAAAATCCTATAAGGATTGACAACCCTGCAATAAAACATTACATACTGAAGTTTTTATTACAATTTCAAAAGGGTCTGAATTGCTCTGGACTGACTAGTTGCCAGGCAGTTAATCATCAGTCATGTCAGGTGACCACCTTCCCCCTTACAGCTCAGGCTGTCAGACATGGACGTATTTGCTGTTGTGTCCACACACTTGTCAGCAGCAGTGTCATTACATGTTCGGCTTGGGAAAATGTTTGATATTTAAAAAGCGGTGAGTGTGAGCTGTAAATAGAATCATAGATACAGATTAATGAGCTGTATTAGTTATTAGTGTTTGATAATAAAAGCCCTTCGCTGTCTGCTAGAGAGGCTCATTACACAGGGCTATAAAGGAAGTCCCAGAGAAGCTGCTGTGTGTGGAGTGTGTGAGGAATCCAGATGAGAAAGATGGCTGAGACTCAGTAGCTGTGATGTTCTTTTTAAGTAGTTCACTGTGTTGTTTTGCAGTAGTGAGTGTATAGAATTCAGTTTGGTCATCTACTTCTGTTGCTTGAGAAGCAACTGCACATCATTGGCCCTTTTCTCAGAAAACAAGTTTGTTAATGAGTTCCCCTTATTTTGGACACTGATTATCATGTGGAACTGTGACTGACAACAATCTCAACAGATGGATTTTTTTTTTTGGCCATCCTGACTTGGGTTTGTGCTACACAATTGAACCATATTCTCCATATTATGTTAGGCTCCATTATTGAAAAGGAAGTAGTGAAGTGGAAAAACGACAAATGATAGACTTTTTATGATTCAGCAGACAGCAGTGACACAATCCACAAAATCAGTTAAGTCAACCTTGCCTGTAACCTAAGCCCTGCCTACTTTTCTGAGCTCTAATTATTTGAATACAACAGAATACCGGAGTTTTTTCAAACAAAGTAAAATTAGGCTGACAAACTAATGCAGAAAGTATTGAATGCATGTAGAAATAATGTTACTGCTTGAAGACCCAGCAAACTCAACTGTGTGGGTCTAATTTAACAATACTGTGGTGTTTTTAGATAAAGTGAGATTTTCTTTATTGTCCTGTATTACAGTCTGTGAGGATATCAACATCTCCTTAAAACAGGTCTGCAGCTAATCTAATCACCTTTCAGATGCTTACAAAGAGTCAGGTAAAACAAAGACATTTAAAAAATAGTTTAAATTCAAGGAAGGTGTGAAGAAAATGCAAGTCTTTTGAAGATCAAAGATTGCAGTAGAGGGGCAGCTCGAACAGGGCTGCAGACAGCTGAACAGCCTTCATCTGGGCTGGGCTAAAGGCTCTGATGACATCAGCCCCAGGGTCTTGATGTCCTGCCCAGCTGTCTAGTATCCTAGTTTGAGGCCTGAGAGGGTGCCAAGGAAATCATCATGTTTAGTACCAATGCTTATAAAAACAGATTGACTCGGTTCCTTTAGACTAGGTGTCAAACACAAGGCCCTCAGCCTAATGTGGCCCGCCAAGTTATGTTGTGTGGCCCACTGGAGTTTAAAAAAGCATTTAATTTTTTTTCTTCATAAATTCAGTTTTTAATACTCAACAATGTACAATAATTGTAGTAGGAATAAATCTTAATTAATTGCAGAAACTTAATTAATTAGTTATGAAGTAGTTACATCTATACAGTCTTCCATTAACAACCGGCCCTTCAAGGTGAACTGTATTGCTGAAAAGGCCCCCACAGTGGGCATGAGTTTGACAGTCCTGGTTTAGACTGACCCACACTAGTTTGTTTAGCAGCTTCATATTGGTGTGAATGGTATTGTAAGATAGGCACAACATTTATGACTGTTTTTTAGGCCTAATCGACAGAAAGTTGAAGTCTTTTAATGATGTCATCACATCAACAGAGGAGGAACTACAAAGACGCACATGTCCAACAATGAGCATGTAACTGTCTTCACATTACTTTCTTAGCTCATGCTAATGGAGACGCCACATCAGTCGGGTGTTCTCTCAGCTCCCAGTCTTAAGATCATAGTTCAAGTGCCATCTACTTTGTTGGACTTTGCTGGAGGAGCAGTGTCAGTGCCAGGGATGCCAGCAGGTTCAACAAACGCATTAGGCGGGCGGGGTCTGACTCAGCCTAAAGACGTTTGAGCCGGCGGGCGGAGATCACAAAAACTGCTCTCCATTATTGACGACAAATCCATTCCCCTTCATTTCATGCTGCAGAGACAGAAGAGTTCTATTTCACAAAGACTCATTCGGTTCTGCTGTGTTAAAGAGCAATCCAGCAAATCTTTCCTAACTCATGCAATTTCTCTCTACAACACTGACCCTGATGTGACAGATGAACAACTTTCATCATCCGTC